CATACATTTCGAGATGTGAGAGGGTCTTACTCTCTTTGATAATGTCAACCTTTTCGACGGTTCCCATCAGATGCACATACCTCCATGTTCTTACTCAGGTGGGGGCGTTGGTGGGCACGTAAGCTTCTGAGATGCTCGTCCCCTGGCATTCAGAGAGAGCGCGCGCAAGGTAGAGGGAGACACAGAATCCAAAACAGGCTCTAGGCTCCAAACTCTCAGCACAGAGCACGATGCAGGGCTTGAACCCACAAACCATGAGATCATGACCTGAGCTGAAGTCGGACGCTTAACCTACTGAGCCACCCAGGTGCCCCTATTTTTAATTTTTTTTAATGTTTTATTTATTTCTGAGAGAGAGAGAAAGACAGCATGAGCAAGGCAGGGTCAGATAGAGAAGGAGACACAGCATCTGAAGCAGGCTTTAGGCTCTGAGCTGTCAGCACAGAGCCCAACGCGGGGCTCAAACCCACGAACCATGAGATCATGACCTGAGCCGAAGTCGGACGCTTAACCGACTGAGCCACCCAGGCGCCCTGGAGCCTGTCTTTAGATTCTGTGTCTCCCTCTCTCTGTCCCTCCCCTGTTCACGCTGTCTCTCTCTCAAAAATAAAACATTAAAAAAAGAAAGAAAGAGTGTGCCCGAGCAAAGGAGAGAGAATCCCAATCAGGCTGTGCACTGTCAGCGCAGAGCCCCACACGGGGCTCAATCTTACAAACCACAAGATCTTGACCTGAGCTGAAGGGTTGGACGCTTGACCGACTGAGTCCCCCAGGTGCCCCTGAAGTGATCTTTTTTTTTCTTTTTTTTAAGAGACTATATATTGAGAGAGAGAGACTAATATAGTGAACCCCCAGTTCCCTCTCGCTCACTTTTCATTCTCCCCACTCGAAGCCAATTTCAGCCATTCTGTCATTTCTCCTATAAATCCTGCCGTGTGCATCTCTAACAGGTGAAGCCCTTCACGAAATAGGACGAGCTATCCATCCATAACAGTCTTAATACCACCTACTGCCTAATCCGTACAGAATTTCTGCTTCTGCTTTAAAAATCCCAGAATGATGAATGAATTTTAAAACGGAGTTAACAGAGGGGCGCCCGGCTGGCTCAGTCGGGGGAGCACGCAGCCCTCCATCTCAGCGTTGTGAGTTCAAGCCTCTCGTTGGGCATAGGAATTACTTAAAACACAAAGCAAACAAAAAACCCTGAGTTCACCGGGCGTGACTTCGGCTGGTAGAGTTCTTCGAAGATGCCCAAATGCAGCCCCCAGCCTTTCCTTGAGAAGACAGGGGCTGCTCCGGTGGGGTCCCTAGACCCTGGCCCCCCTCGCTCCCCCTGCGGACGGGTCTCCTTGAGGCCGGCTGCACGTGCGTCTGTCTGCCCCGCAGTGGTGACCATCATCAAGGGCAAGGTGGAGGAGGTGGAGCTCCCGGTGGAGAAGGTGGACATCATCATCAGCGAGTGGATGGGCTACTGCCTCTTCTACGAGTCCATGCTCAACACCGTGCTCTATGCCCGGGACAAGTGGCTGGTGAGGCCCCCGGCGGGGTGGGGGCCGTGTGCCCGGGCCAGGCTCCTGCGGCCGCGCGCCGAGCACCTGTCAGTCGGGGTCTGGGCAGAAAACAAAAGCCATGCCAGATATGTCCCAGACAGGGGACTTCATACAGGGGATTGACTGCTCCGATGTGGGGGTGGGGGCCCAGAGCCAAAATGGGATGTCCCAGGCACCAGGAGCTAGACGGAGACGAGGTGTGTCAGGAGGTGGTTCGTGCTGGGAAGAAGATGACCGCAAAAGGACAGGGAGAGGCTGGGGTGCCGTGGTTTCAGGTGCTCAGATCAGAACAGGCTTCCCAGGGGGAGCTGACTAAGACCTGACCCAGGGGAAGGAGCCACAGGAGACCTCAGAGGAAGAGCACCTGGGCAGAGGAAATAGTTGTGCAAAGGTCCTGGGGCAGGAGAATTTTATCGTGTGTTGAGGAATAGAGCGTGGACTGGAAGAACAGAAGGTGGAGGGGGCCCGAGCACTCCCATGAGACTTTGGTTTTTCCTCCCAGGGGAGCCAGGGAGGGCCCTCCAGATCCTTCAGGACCTATGAAGGACAGGTCTGACTTAGGTGCTTCTAGATGAGGGCAGAAGCCAGTGAAGGGGCCACTTGTAGGCGTCCAGGTGGGCAGTGGCAGTGGCTCAGACCAGGGTGGGGATAGAGTGCGTGGATAGAGACCCAAGTTGTCGAGGTTTGGGGCCAGTGACCCAAGTCCCCCATCCATCACACCCTCCCCCTCGGCAGGCACCCGATGGCCTCATCTTTCCGGACCGAGCCACGCTGTATGTGACGGCCATCGAGGACCGGCAGTACAAAGACTACAAGATCCACTGTGAGTTTGGATCCCCTGGACACCCGTGGGGCGGGGCCAGCTTGGTCTGGGCGCCCCCTGCCGGGCTCACCCTCCTCCCTGCCCACCTCCCCAGGGTGGGAGAACGTGTATGGCTTTGATATGTCCTGCATCAAAGACGTGGCCATCAAGGAGCCCCTGGTGGACGTGGTGGACCCCAAGCAGCTGGTCACCAACGCCTGCCTCATAAAGGTGAGGGGGCGGTGCAGCCAGGTGTTCCCAGGGTTGCAGCCAGGGAAGGGCCACCCCACCCCTCTGGGCCTGGGCCAGACATCAGGTCCAAGTGTTTGTCTGGAGTGTGACCTGTCGGCCAGAGGTGGCGCTAGAGGCCCAGAGAAGCCACCTCAGCCATTGTAAAGCTTTCTGAGCTAGGCCTGCTAGTGGTTCAGACGGGTGAATTCTAGAATTGTGCTTGGCTTTGAGAGGTGGACCCACAGCCAGGTGGAGGAGGAGGGGGAGGACGTGTGGAGCGAGCGCAGACAGGAGCTGGATGGGCGGGCAGGCGCCCGACCGGGGAGCTGCCGTAGGGCTTTGAGCAGAGGGTTGATGCCGGTGTTTTCTCTCTGTTTTCGCACTGTGGCGGGGGGAGGCCGGTGGAGAAGGGGTCACGGGTGACACTCCGAGCACAAGCAGTTGCTCTAGGAAGTAGGACTGTCCAGTCCTGGCTGCGGGCGGGGGAAGGAGGGGCACAGGGGCTGCCGCGTGGCACCGCTGGGGTCTTCGGCCAAACGCCAGGCCGAGTGCCAGGGAGTGGCGCTCATGGGGCCTGTCCTGCAGGAGGTGGACATCTACACCGTCAAGGTGGAAGACCTGACCTTCACCTCCCCCTTCTGCCTGCAAGTGAAGCGGAACGACTACGTGCACGCACTGGTGGCCTACTTCAACATCGAGTTCACTCGCTGCCACAAGAGGACAGGCTTCTCCACCAGTGAGCGAGGGGGGGGGGGGTGGCACACGGAGAACCCGGGCAGTGACCGCGGCTCTGCCAGCTCACCTGCGTGTGTCCTGCCTCAGTTTCCCCACCTGTGACAGTAGACAAGGTCCCTCTCCAGGGCTTGATGGGAGTGAAGGGATTCAGGGATGGTGGAACCCCGTCACCGCTCAGTAAAAGTCATCTTGGGGCAAAGAGAGGGAGGAGCCGGGCCAAGGCCCGGGATGGGGGGTCGTGGCTGACCTGACTGCACCCCCAGGCCCCGAGTCCCCGTATACGCACTGGAAGCAGACTGTGTTCTACATGGAGGACTACCTGACCGTGAAGACGGGCGAGGAGATCTTTGGCACCATTGGCATGCGGCCCAATGCCAAGAATAATGTGAGGCGCTGCGGGGGCTCGGGGGTGGGCTCAGGAGGGGCACCCCGGCCTGCTCTGGGGCCCCAGCAGCCCAGCCCTCAGCTTGGCGGAGTCTGAGAGCCCCGGAGAAACCCCGAGTGGGTGGGAGGTGGAAGGCTCTGGAGCCTGCCGTTCAGGGCAGGGGCCTGCGGGTGGGCGGAGGAGGCCCCAAGGTCACGCCCGCTTTCCCAGGGAAGCCAGAGGCCCTCCACGCCAGGTGGCTTTGCTGCCCCCCCACCCAGGGCATTCATCTCTGTCTGGAGACATTTGGGACTCCCACAGCTGGAGAAGGGATGCCTCTGGCATCTCCCCGGAGCAGCCTCTGCTCTGGCCCCAGGGTCTGTAGTACTGAGCTTGAGAGACCCCCAGACTAAAGAGACAGGGAGATGCCCAGAGATGGGGGAGGAGACTGGGTGCCTGGGCTGAGGTCCACTGAGGACTGAGGGCAGGAGCCTTCAGTTGGTGACTTTGCCCTGAGCCTTTCCCGGGAGTCGGCGGGGGGAGGGTGGGGGGGGGGCACCGGAGGAAGATGGGCCTCCCGGAAGCTGGGGAGTAGAGAGAGGAAGCGCGGGGAAGGCCAGGTTGGGACCACCGAGTTTGGCTGGAGAGGGTTTTGCTTCCTGGGTAAGGATGATGGCTATGGTTTGGGTAGGGAAAGCCACAGGAGTCAGAGCAGCTGCTTTGGGGCGGGTTCCAGGTGGGTTTGGGGGCAGGACCACCCCTCCCCCCGCCCCCAGTCTCCAGCCTGGCCACAGGCTAAAGGCAAGACGCCTGCGGGGTCTCCTGGGAGCACCCGTCCCGCTGCTGCCTCCCAAGTGGCACTTCTGGGTCTCTGCCTGCGGGGTGGCGCGTGCCGCTCACGCCTGCCCTCTCCCCACAGCGCGACCTGGACTTCACCATCGACCTGGACTTCAAGGGCCAGCTGTGCGAGCTGTCCTGCTCCACCGACTACCGGATGCGCTGAGGCGGCGCCCGGCTTCTCCCACCCCGGCCGGGCCGGCCCTGCACGGGCCCAGGGGCTGCGGCGTCCTTAGGCAGTTTTGGGGCTCCCCCTTCCTCTCCTTCCCTCCCTCAGAAGGGGGTTTTAGGGGCCTGGGCTGGGAGGGGGGGCACATCGTGACTGTGTTTTTCATAACTTATGTTTTTATATGGTTGCATTTACGCCAATAAATCCTCAGCTGGGACTGCTCGCCTTCCTGGGGGGCGGCGTGGGGCCGGGGCGCTGTCTGCGGGCGCTGAGATGACGCCCGGGGGTCCCGGGACGGCACCTGCTGCTAGCTGCTTCTCGGGGTCTCTGCTCCCCACACCCCTCTGCCAAGGTCTCTTTCCCCCCATCCCTCTCTCCTGGCCTGTGTCGTCTCCCATCCCCCTCACTCATGCCCCCTGAGGCCCCATGGCCACTTTTTCCCCCTTTGGGCAGGGCTCCTGCTCTGCTGCCCAGCTGGGCTGGGGGAGGGGCGGGGTGTGGGTTCCCAGCACAGCTGGGCCCTTAAGTTTCCCAGAAAGCCATCTTCCCCCGCCTCCCCCCCCAGCGCACACATTGTTCCTCTGGCTGTTTTTTCCTGTCCAGGACCCTCCAAGGCCAGGCGGGGGCTGACTGGCAGGGACTGCCGCCTGGCCTGCTGCAGCTGGGGAAACTGAGTCTTGGGGGAGTTGTTAGGGGATAGAACTCCTTGTGTGTGTGGGGGGGTGTCTGCTTCCATCCCCAGCCTAGCTTGGAACTTGGAGGTGGGGGACGAGGGAAGGGTCCCACCTTAGAGCCGCAGGGCCTCCCGACTCCCCTCTTTATGGAGATGGTGTCAGAGGTAGACTAACCTCAGCTCCCCAGGGACCTCTGTCCTGCGGCCGCTGCGGGCGCGGGATCCACAGCGGGCCCTTTTCCATGGCCTTGTGCACAGAGCCCCCCGGTTCCCAGGATGCTGACCCAGGAGCTGGGTCCCCTAAGCCACCAGGACTTTCCTTTTCATGCCTGGCTGACAGGGCTTCAGTACAGCTGAGGCCTGGGCTGCGTGGCTCTTCACACCGGTCTACACTTACTCCCCTTCCTGGATGGTGTCTACAGGCTAGGCTAGCGCCCAGACTCCCTCTGTCTACACCCCCCGGGAGGCTGCAGGTGCCTCGCATCGCCCTACCCACAAAGCCTGGCCCTTGAGACCACAGGGTCCCTGACGCGGTTGAGGTCGCAGAAGCCCAGCGCCTCCCTGCCCCCACCCCTTTCCTGGAAGCCCTAAGCTGTCGCCACTGGCAGGTGTCAGCTGCCCCGCCCCTCTTCCCTCCCCCTTAAAGGGGTCGCTCTCCGGAGGCCTCCCGGGGTCAGAGCACTGCTACGTGACCAGCACACCCGTGGGAGCTCCTAGGCCAAGGAGTAGGACTCGGGGATCCAGGTTCTAAGCTTTCTCTCCTGGCGTTGTGTGGCCTCCCGGACTCGGCCTCAGTTTTCCCCGCCGGGGAAGTGGGGGCTGGCGCTAAAGCAGGCTGCTTCACCCATGGGTTTCAGGGACCACACCCGGCCCCACCCCACGATGACTTCCCACATCGTCCTGTGGCTTCTCGCCGCCTCCATCCTGGCGGACCCGGACTCTGCGGGCAGGTGAGAAGGGCTGGTGGCAGCGGGGACCGGGCGGGAAGGAGACCGCGAGGAGCGTGCGCCCTCTTCAGGCCACGGTTTTCCGCGTCGGTGGAGTGGTGATCCGTAAGCCCGCCTGCCCCGTGGCGGAGCCCTGGGTGCCCCGACGCCACCGAGACCCCTTTCTCCAGAGGCTTCTGTTTGAACCCGGTCTTCTCCCATGCTCCTTCCCCAGACGGCCCCTGCACCAGGTCGCCCAGAACCGCAGGCGCCTCTGTTCCCTGGGCACATGCCAGACGCACCGCCTGCCGGAGATTATATACTGGCTCCGCTCTGCCTCCACCAAAGAGCTCTCAGGGAAGGCCGGCCGTGAGCCCCAGGACCCCCACAGCTACGGGCGCCGCCGTAGGCGCGAGGCCAGAGTCCTGCTCCATCTCCTTGACCCTGGCCCGAAGGAAAGAGGCCAGCGCAGCGCCCAGCTTGCTGGGTGACGTCGGACACGTCCCTGTTCCTCCCCTGGCCTCAGTTTGCCCATCTGTGTACTGGGGCCACGACCCCAAGTTTCTTTTCCTCTCGCTCCATTGTGAGGGGGCTCATTCAAAAACCGGGCTCGTTCAAACACTGCCTTCCCCCATCTGTGGCTGGGCTGGACCCAGGTGCACACCGGACCTAACATGTACAAAGAATGCTACCGTCCAGAGCCTAATAAAACGAGTTTCCCGTTTCAGCCTCCGCTTGTCTGTGCCCATTCTGGCCTTCCAGGCTGAACCCGGTCTCTTAACATATTCTCTCCCTTTATCCATGCACCTTTTCCCACACGGAAGTCCCTCTGACTGTCTAACTTGAATCCAATCTGCTGTAGCTTCTCCTTCGCACCACTCCGCGCAGCTGCGTTTTCCGTGGGCGGTTTTGGTGGGCGGACCCAACTCCCCGAAGCAGCCCTCCCTCCCCGGGATGGTAGGACTTTGATTCGCTGCGGCTCGATACCCACGCGCGTGACTTTACATGTACCCAACGGTGGGCTGTGAGCCTCGCTTCTCAAAGAGAGAATGAGACAAAGCGGAGTGGGAAGCTCGAGAACCTGGGGTTCAGACCGGAGGAGCTGCTTAGAAGCCGGGAAGCCAACGGTGGATAAATCAGGCCGGGTAGAAAAAGACTGAAGCTGGGGAGCTAGCGGAGGGAGGGGATTGGACGCTGGGACTCGAGGGGGCGGGGATAGCACGCAGAGGGTTGGAAGGGGGCGGGGACAAAACCAGGGACTTGCCTCCCCGGCGAAGGCACGCGCGAGGCAGAAATTAGGGTTCCTGGATGTTGGATAATCGGGAGCTGCCGGGAGCTCCGGAGGCCCGACGACCGAGTCGTGGACTCGTCGCACTGGGATTGGACATATGCAAGTGGGAGCCTTGGGTCTGGCGCTCTGAGTCGGGGGTCGGGGTGTACTCGGGCTTGGGTTCCAGGATCGGCTCGGCGGACCTCGGACTCAGCGTGGTAAGTATCGGACCCGAGGGGCCAGGAGGCCTGTGTCTTGGGTTGGGCGTGCGGGCTTCTCCATCACTTGTCCTCGAAGCTCGCATCAGCTCAGTCTCAGCATCCCTGGCTGTGAGGCATGCGCAGTAGGGTGCTCCCTCCCCCATCCCTTCCAGCCCCCGGAGCGGGGGAGGGGACTCTGGGCCATCCTGTGGAGCGGACGAATTTATAGACGTTCCCGCTGCTCCTCCCCCGCCACTCCCCACCCGTCCCTTCCCCCCCCCCCCCCTTGGCATGGGAAGCGGAAACGGAGCGGACGGTGCCAACGTCCGGCAGGTGTGCATTTCAATGGGTCTCGGACTAACGTTTTTCTCCAGACCCCGCAACCCAACCCCGGACAGGTTTCGCGCCCCCAACCCCGAATCTGGAAAGTCTTTCATGGGGAAGGGCACACGGCCTTGCACCTCGTTCTCAGCAGAGCCGCAAAAGGAATTCACGCGAGTTATCCCTCCTGCCTCTCTATGCCTTCACAGAGGTCCCCAGTTGACGTCCCTCGCAACACCGGAGTCTCTGACCAAGTCGTTCAAGACCCCGCAGGTGGTTAGGGAAGGGTGAGCCGTCGTCCTATATTCCTGGGTCTGGAGGCGGAGGGGGTTGGGAGCCCGGACTCCTGGGTCTGAGGCCGAGGGGGGGCGGGGGGCTGGAGAATGACCCTCTGTCCCAACTCCCAGGGCTCTAGCGTGACATGGCCGAAGCGCACCAGGCCGTGGGCTTCCGACCCTCGCTGACGTCGGACGGGGCCGAAGTGGAGCTCAGGGCCCCGGTGTTGCGGGAGATCTACCTCTCCGGACTGCGCTCGTGGAAAAGGCACCTCGCCCGCTTCTGGGTGAGGAGGGCGCGGCTTGGTTTCCTTCCAAGAATCCAGTTAGTTCTGGGGTGCCCGAGGCCCACTTGCCGCATCCACTTCTGGGATCCCATCACCCCCACCCCCACCCCTTCTGGGAATTTGGATGTCGACTTTCAGGACCCCTTAAAGCCATTTCTGGGTTTTCTGAGGCTCGCTTCAGAATCCTCGACCTCGCCTACCGGGCGCCTCTGTCCACCTCTTACAACCACTTCCTGGGCCACTTCCCTCTGTCCTCAGGCCCGCAAACCCAACTTCCACCCAATTTCTAGAATTCAGACCCCTCCCTCCCAGCCCAGGGGCTCCCCGCCCCTTTCCCTTTCGTCTTCAGGTACTAAACTCCGCCCTCGTTCATTTCAGAACGCGGGGACCCAGTGAAGACCTTGGCTAGCCCACACCCCAATCCTGAAGGCCCCTTGCTTCTCCTCGCCGGTGCCCCCGGGTCTGAGGCTGCCTCCTGCATCCTGCCCCTGAACCCCCAGCGCCCCTCCCCAGCATGCCCTGCGCCTTCCCTCCGGTTCCCAGACCCTGACGTGAACCTCCCAAGTGCCCGTATGCCGCACTTCCCCAGCGCTGCCCTCCTTCGAGAATGCCCATGCCCGCGTCTCACCGGGACCCATGCCTGCCTGCCCCAGGGTCATTAGTGCTAGAAGTCTGCCACTGGGTGCTCACAGTCTCCTGGTGGCCACATCCTGTCTGTGGGCCCAAGTCTCCAGCACCTGCGGGGTTGGCTGAGACTGACTTTGAATCCTGGCTCTGCTGCTTACTAGCTGTGTGGCCTTGGGCGAGTTCGCCTCTCTGAGCCTCAGTTTCCCCACACGTAAAACGGAGGGTGGGATGGTAACAGCTCACCCCCTCACAGTCCCTCATAGGATTGAATGAATTGTTACACGTAAGCACTGAGGAACTGCCTGCCCCTGGCAAGTGCCCAGCGTTAGTTTGTGATAAGCTTGTTCTTTATTCATTAATCAGGTGTCTGCCTGCCTCAGTCGGTGGAGCATATGACTCTTGATCTCGGGTTGTTAGTTCGAGCCCCACCTCTACACCCAACGTGGGTAGCAATGCCCCCCACCCCCAGCAAAGGGCTCCTTCAGCCCTGCCCCTGGAACTTTCTGGGCCTCAGGCTAATTCATCAATTAAAACAATACCATGCGGCCGTTAATCTGGGGTTAAATACATAAACACACATATACACATACACATATAATTTTATTATCTTGTTCTTTTTTTAATGTTTATTTTTGAGAGATAGAGCACGGGGGGGGGGCAGAGAGAGAAGACACAGAATCCAAAGTCAGCTCAGAGCCTGACTTGGGGCTGGAACCCATGAACTGTAAGATCATGACTTGAGCCAAGGCCAGACGCTCACCCGACTGACCCACCCAGGCGCCCCATACACATATATTTTAAAAATTAAGATATTGTTTCATTCAGCAAAAAAAATGCGCAGATTTTTAAAAGTTACAGTCCTTGAATTTTGACAATACCTGTGCACCCAACTTCCTATCAAGACCAAATTGCCACCATTCTAGAATGTTCCTTTGAGCCCTTTTCCAGATAGCGCCTCCCACTCAAGGCAACCACTGTTCTGGTTTCTATGCTTATAGGTGGATTGTGACTAATGCTGGATTGTTGACTATTTTGGCCCTCATGACCCCTACTTCTGAATGAAAGCCTAAAGCCCTTCTCAGAGTCAAATGTCCCCTATGCCCGGTGGCCCCCACCAGACCCTGTCATTAGTATTGACTGATAAATGTAATAGTGCTCATTCTTCCCTTTCAATCACATAGCTGCCTCTCTCCCTGTGGGACGCCTGATGCTCTTCTGTCCTTTCTCTTCCATTCTGGGACCCTAGGAGCCACCCTGAAGTCATAGCTTCTGGAACTTGGTTTCAGGGTGAGGGCTGTGTCCTCAGCAACCTCAGAGCTGAAATTCCATAGACTTACTGCCAAGCCCTAATTTCTTCATTTATAAAATGGTGCCCCTGACAGTCCCTGCCTCAAGGGATTGTGGGAAGCATGAGCTGTCTTAGCCGAAGGTCTGAGGCAGAGAAGTGACCCCTCCAACATCGCCATTCTACGATCCTGGTGGTTCCACACAGGTCATAAGTGCTGTGTGTCCTCTGGCATGTTATTAACTTCTCTGAGCCTCTGCTTCCTCATTTCTAAAATAACATTAGGTCATATTTAGGGTGTCTTAGGCTCTATACTCACCAAACCCTTGAAATCTATTGTTTGCGTGCAGCCCTAGATTTCAGGGTCGTGAGTTTGAGCCCCACGTTGGGTGTGGAGATTACTTAAAATCTTTTTATTTATTTATTTTTGAGAGAGACAGAGACAGTGCAAGCAGGGGAGGGACAGAGAGGGGGAGAGAGAGAGAGAGAGAGAGAATCCCAAACAGGCTCTGTGGTGCCAGCACAGAGCCAGATGCGGGGCTTGAACTCATGACCTGAGCCAAAACCAAGAGTCGGATGCTCAATGGACAGAGCCACCCAGGTGCTCCCCAGATAAAATCTCTTAAAAATAGAAATAAATGAATGTATGACTCATCTGATCTTCATCACAGCCTTCTAAGGTAGACCTATTCTTAGTCCCACTTTGCAGATGAGGAAACAGAGGCCCAGAGAGGTGCCTTCACTTTCCCAAGGCCACACAGCTGTGAGGATGCACCGCTAGAGACAGAGCTAGAATCAGCAGTGTGGCTGTGGATCCCGTACTCACGCCCGCGATCCTGGGCTGCTTTTCTAGAATGTGGCCCCGGGACCTGTGCCATGGGGCTGTTGTGAGTCACGTGCAGTGGGTCACTTGGGCCAAGCACGTGGCACAGTTCATCAGCAGGAGGTCAGGGAGTTTCCTGAGATGGTTTCCAAAGGAACATGGGAGGCAGCGGACCCCAGAGGGTGGGATTTTGCACCAGTTCCTGTGGCGTTAGGGTCACGAGGCATCTGGACGGTTTGAGGGGTTGATAGTGAACCCTCTGTGGCTGGGGACACGTCCTTCTCACTTTCTTCGCCCGTGTGATGGAGATAATGGTATTTACTACTATTTTACTGAGATACAGGGCAATGCAGTGATTTATTGATGCATCTGGTCCGTGGGAAGGGCTGTGGAGACACTTCCTGTTTTTATGAAGCCCTGTTTTACCGCAATCCAGAGCCCCCGGTAAAGGAACAAACCGCTTCTCTTAAAGATAAATAATAAGCAGGGACGCCTGGGTGGCTTAGTTGGTTAAGCGTCCGACTTTCGCTTAGGTCATGATCTCGCGGTTCGTGGGTTCGAGCCCCGCGTCGGGCTCTGTGCTGACTGCCAGCTCAGAGCCTGGAGCCTGTTTCAGAGTCTGTGACTCCCTCTCTCTCT